ATAGATAGTGATATTACTGGGGAAGCTAGTGGAACTCAAGCGGAAGTTGGCTTGTTTGTTAGGGGCAAATCCGACTCCATATCCAGATACAATAATTTAGAGTGTCGCTATTGTCATAAGAAATGTCACAATATCTCTGAATGCTATAAACAGAAAAATAAAGAAAAGCATAAAGAAAGAAAAAATGAGCACAAAAATACTGACATCGCCGAAGCTAGTGTAGCAACTGAAGAGATTGAGGGAACTATATTTTTAGCAACTGAAACTAGTTTCAAATTAGACAATGAGTGAATTTTAGATTCCAGTTGTTCATATCATATATGTCCTAGCAGGGACTTGTTTTCTACATATGATTCAGTTGCAGTTAGAGTTGTCCAACTGGGTAACAATGTTACTTGTAACGTTATTGGCAAAGGTACAATTCAGTTTAGAATACACGATGATGTGGTGAGAACTCTCACTGATGTTAGATATGTTCTTCAGTTGAAGAAAAATCTCATATCTTTGGGCAATTTAGAATCCCTTGGGTGCAAATTCACTAGTAAAGGTGGAGTTTTAAAAGTTTTTCAAAATGCTCTTGTGATCATGAAAGCACACAGATCTGGTTCGTTGTATACTTTATTGGGCTCCACTGTTATAGGCCATACTGCAGTTTCGGTATCAGACAACTTGTCTGATTTTGATGGCATTAAATTTTGAAATATGCCCATTGGGGCTTTTGCGAAGAAGGTGAAACAAATTTACTATATCAGCCAAAATTAGGCTAAGGTGGAGATTTGTAAAAAGTGACCTTATTTTTAGTCTTTTTATTTGTGAGCCTTGTTGGCACATTTGGAGCCTTTTATTTAAGGCCTTGTTGGCCAAATAAATGGCCTTGTATTTTGAGAGGATGTGGCCAATTGTTGGCCAAGCATTTCTTTTTTCTCTTCCTATATAATGAGGACTCTCTACTCATTTGGAAATACACCAACAATACTTCTGTATTTCTTGTTTATTCCTTTCTTCCTTTATTAAGAATGTTTCGTATGAGAGTTAAGTGTTGGGAAGTACTTGTGTGAACTCTTTCTTTGGAGTGATCTTGTGAGGTTATTCCCTTAGGGTATTTGGGATTAATTAGAGTATTTACTCTAATTTTGTACTCTTATTATTATAGTGAAACTTCTTCTCTCCGCTTGTGGACGTAGGTCATTTTGACCGAACCACATTAAATTTGTGTCTTCTTTATCTACTTTAATTGCCGTTGTTATCAACTTTCATTGTCTTTGTTATTGTCATTATACCGTTATTTAACTAAATTATGCACTACCTGGATTTCCGATCCTAACAATTATAATAGGAAGCGATTTTTTCGGTCCTAAGTGATAGCGCTATTTCGAATTAGACGGGGCGCCGATATAGATATTGAAACCAAAACAAGAAGATCCAATGAAATGACCACAAAGATCCTTTGCATTTATTCCCCTCAACATCATAGCCACCCACCCAACTTTTGAATTTATCTTGTCCTTGGGGTTAGTTACCCATTGAATTTTCTTGCAACTAAAAAAGTAAATATTGCATCATTTTCACACTACTTTTGTTTACAAAACAACATTGAGAAAGACCAACCTAGACAACCTTAACTTTCTCATCGGAGAGGTTAATCCTGAAATGTCAACGATGATCATCCAGAGAATCAAAGAGCGTTTTTTAGTTGATCAATGCCTGCCTTCCATCTACAGTATTTACTAAAAGCTAGTATACTTGTTTTTTACTGGTGAGGTGTAGCTTATACAGCAAGGTCAAATTCTCAATATTTATGAGTGTTAACATTTTCTTTCGGTTTTGTACTTGCCCCCTTTTTTTTTTAAAAAAAAAAAGTTACTCTGGGTTGTATTATGATTGAGTCATTTATCATCCAATTTACAATATTTCAATTGAATTCAAGTAGTCATTCTTTCCGAAAATCAGCTAATTTTGAATTTTACTAGGAAAAAAAGAACTCTTTTATCTAGATTACTCTGACAATAATTCACATTAAAAATAGAATACGAAGAAAAACCACTACATTACATTTAAATGGAACTAAGTATAATATTATACATCTAATAGTTTACTACTACTACTACTACTACAAAAAAAAAAGAATGTCAATGATCAAGTCTCGAATTTTGATCACAGCGCATATGTGTTATAAATAGAAAAAAAGGAAAATACACCAAGATTCACCTTACACTAGTGTGAAAGTAGTCGAGTTTGGGTTCTCATAAAACGAAGAAGGCACACTTGGGGAAGAGAAACAGGCTGCGGCTGAAAAACCATTTACTAAAATATTTCTAGATTTTGTCACGGTTCTGTTCTAGGGAAGAAGAAAAGAAACAAACAAAAGAAAGAAGACAGCCTATAGCCTATTGATTTTTGAAGATTTACATGAATATGGGGGAGGGTTTCTACAACCAAATACTAACCATCTGGTGCCAGAAGTATGCATTTACTCCATTTTAACATAGTAAAATTTTGCAACTGACACACTATGATATTATCGTAGTTCTTTAATAATAATGTCGCCCAACCCCAACTCTGTTTGGAATTGCAGCGTAATAGTTACTTGTGGTACTATAATACTATTAGAACTATTTAACCAATCGGTAGGCGTCAAGAATTAAACCATCAATAAGCTTTTAATTAAGTTTCTATATCAAATGACAATTGAAGGTGAATGCATCATACGTACAAGGTTAATAATGCAATTTTTGCTGTTTAGTTAAAAAAGGAAATTTTGTGTTTTCATCCTAACTTATGCATACGCATATTTCATAAGTCATAAACTTTAAATAAAGACCTAATACTACCCTAAAAACTACGTTAAGAAAGGTAAGCACAAAATAGGCACATGCAACCCCCATTACTCTGTTACCTAAAATACGTCCAAGTTAAACTAATAGAAGAATAAAGTTGCTCCATTACAGTGACAACTTAATAAAAAAAAAATCGCCACAAAATTGGAATGCTACAAATCATAGTGAAAGCTGTAAACATTGCCATAAAATTGGAATGATACACAACGAATTAGCAGGGCCCAAGCATTACTAAGAAAAACTAATCATTGAATTAAATCGACAAAACAAGCATCAAACACGAGCAATAGCAAGTACATGTAACCAAAAGTTAGGTATAATTGTTGCACTAAATTCGGAATATGGATACTAAATTCCTGTATTAATTTGTTTCTCTATGTGAGATAGAAATATAGCTTCCATGATTAACCCTGATGTCAGATAAGGGAGAGAAAGAAGCCATTCTACAAAATTGGGAGGTAGAATTTTTCTTCCTAAATTGCCCTTAAAGTTATATTACCCTTTTTGAATTTCCAATTATAGTTCTTAATTCTACCTCCCAGCTTCCATAATCTCTCCCAATTAAACACAATTAGTAAAGCGGAGACCGCTGAGGCGTACCCTTCCTCCGGTTCATCATAGAAACCGACATCTCCGAACCCGGTCCACAAGCAGGCTGAAACGCGGACCGGAAAGACGATAGGGTGCTGCGTTTCTTCCTTACAACCTCTGTTGTCGCCGTACATAGGACAGCTCCACCGCTGCAACTCGAACCTGAATCAACTGGTTCAAGAATGGTGTCAGGGGTCATTTGACCATCGTCCAAACCCGGTTCAGACAGGGTCATGTAATCACACTTGTAGATATACTTGGAAAGTTTGCCCTCAGTTTTCAGTATGTGTTCAACCTGTAACAAAACCAAGCCATATCCATGTTAATACATAAGAAACGGGTCGGTAACAAAATTCAAAATAATTAACATAAAAATTGTGGGTTTACAATTTTGGTAATTTAAAAATTAAAAAACAGACCTTGCAGGAGATGGAACAAAAGAGATATGGGTCCTGAAGTCCTCTTTCACATATGATGCAGGTGTTACTTGAGCCTCTACAAGGCCTTGTTTTTGGCCTATGGTTTAAAAATACCACTTTTGCACTATTTGAAGTGTAAGACTGCAGACCAAAAAAGAGGGAACATAGTAAAATCAAAGAAAGAAGAAGAAAATCAAAAGGTGACAAATTTGGGTCAAATACTCACTTGAACAAAAGCACAGTCCAACAATTTCTCAGCATCACAAAGCCTAATAACATCATGATACACATACCTCCTAATCTGCAGTACCCAAAAAAAACATCATTTTTAAAAGCACGTACATAATTCAACATGTTTTATGAAAACTGAGATAATTTTGTAAGAAAAAAATGGACCTGCAAAAGGCGGTGAGAACGGTGAGGGGTCAAACAGTGAGGGCAAATACACTCACAACAGTCCAAACAGAAGACATTCTTTTCATTCTTCTTAGCATCTTCGTGAATTATGCAAGCGTTGAAGAATTTCTCTGTTAACAGTGCAATAAGCCACTGAGGAAGTTGTGTATATTCCAACTGCACATTAAGATACCCAAAAAAAGAAAAAAAACATAAGAATATGTATTCAGTTGGCGCAATTGAACTAGAGAATAAATCAAAGAAAGAGACCCCACCATGTTCATATGATGAATATTCCACTGTAAAGTTTTTGAGTTTTTGCTTCGATATATATGGTTTTTATGAGAAAACTTTTCAAGAAAATAGTATGGGGGTATTGGGTTTTGGTAGAAAGAGAACAAAAGGTAAGGGGGCTGAGGGGACAGAGGGAAAAAAGGAGGACGGCGCCTGCAAAACTAAGACTGGGGTATTACTGTTACCAATGAAATGAAAGAAGAAGAGTAGTGGTATGTGTATATATGCATAATATTGCTAATGGTGCAATAGTGAATTAGCTACAATTCTGTGTACTTGTACTATTTTGTGCAGTACTATTCTTTTTCTTTGCTAACTTTCTTTACCAAAACTTGGGATTTTGATTTGGAACTAATACTAATTTTGCGTAAAATCTTCAACTGATAAGAGACAGCCCTAAGTCAAATTTAAAAAACTTTGTCTCTTCTCAAAGGAAAAAAAAAACAAAAGGAGGTGAAGAACTGAACAGCTCAAAAACTTCTGGTTTGTTTTGTATACAATAATTAGCACTATTTACAAGTAAAACAGCTCGTATCCCAAAGGACCCTATAAGAAATGACCATTTGGTGGTTTATGTATGGTACGTTTCTTTGGCTAAGCACTAAGCAGAAGCAGTCCCTTCATCTTCTCTCTCTCTCTCCTTCTCAGCTAAATGACAAGACCAAAGATGGTGACTTTCTCACCTCTCGGTAAAAAACGATAAAAATTGACAGACTGAGGTTAAAGGAAAATAGGAAGTCACCATTTTCTTTTTGGTGACAATTGTAGGTAAGCATGATCTTTTTGGGATATGATCAATTTCGAGCAGGAGTGTAAAACGGGCGGGGCGGGTTGGATATGGTTCGGGTCGAAAACGGATAAAGAAAAAATGGATAAATTATTCGATCATATTCATATTTAATACGGATAAAAAATGGGTTAATCGACGGATATTATCCATGACTTATTGAATATGAACACTTTTAGGAGAATTCCTAGTGTCCCAAACTTGAGGAACCCTAATTTGAGGCTTTACAAATGTAAAAGTTAAACCCATTAGTTATCCATTTTCTAAATGGATAATATGGTTCTTATCCATATTTGACCCGTTTTTAAAAAGTTCATTATTTAACCTATTTTTTAGTGAATAATATGGGTGGTTGACTGTGTTCTTTTAACCATTTTAGCACCCCTAATTTAGAGCTATGTTTATCACATAGACAGACTATACGTAGCCTATTATTATCCTATTAAAAAAATCCCCAGTTATTATTTCCTAAAGGTTGGAAGTAAAAAGAAGAAAATATAGATAGACTAGTACGTAGTAGAAAAGAAGGCGTGAATTGTGTGGAAATTGAAACGCATTGCACCAGAAAATAAATTGGAAACCAATTTGCAAAGCGGAATTTCCAAGGAAGTAAAAAAGAATACCAGAAGTCACAACTTCTATTGTATATCAAGATTTTGTGAATCACTTATAGATATTGTATGTATGTACATAATATTTTGATCATTTTACTAGAAAAAGAAAAATCGTGATTATAATTATAAAAATTGATAAAGAAGTCAAAGTAGCTTTATATATGAAGAAGGGCAGGGACAGAGAGAAAAGCCAGCTCACTTTTCCCAATTATAGCTTTCTGAAATGCTCGCATGAACTCCAAAGCCAGCATTGGAACTATGCCCTATTTACTATACTAGTCATTTTAACACACAGCTCAGAACTGTATTATTATACTCCATATCTTTACTGCTTACATATAGAGACGAATTTCATAAATGTAGAGATTGTATTTTTGACTCAATTGTCAATGGTTGTCTTTCAAGTTTGATGACTAGCAGAGTTTCTCCTTTAAAAGGGAACAAATAGAAAAAGAAAAAGAAAGGGAAAGAAAAAAAGTGCTCTTTTGGACAAACTTCTTAAATCAGATGTGTTTTTTTAAATTACTTTGATGACAAATAATTTGTATCTAACTAATTAATTTAAAAAGCATTTTAGCGTAGAAAATAATATTTGGCCATATTTTTAAAAAATAATTCTAAATTTATTTTTTGCAAAAACAATTTCTAGAAAAGTACTTAAGGGAAGAAATTATATTTTTCTGCTTTTTAAAAAACTGTTTCTTCGTTTACTCAAAAGTATTTTTATTCCTTCTAAAAACTTGGTCAAACACTTTAATTTAGAATAATGTAGGGTGAGATGAATAAGCCTGCAATCTCAGCCTGTGGGCTACATAGATAACTGATGAAATTAGAGCTGGTTTAAGCCTGCAATCTGATAGCCTATACTGGAAATTTCAATGGTGGTGTACCAATTCACTAATTCAACATTAAGATTTATAGTTGGGAAAACTATATTATATAACCGTTCCATAATGTAATATCCATAAAAAGTATGTATTTTTTGTATATTAATATATAATTTATATTTATACATAATTAGTGTAAATTTTTTGTATATTTAACTAACGAATATAATTATTTTTTGTTGATCGGCCAAATATGTAACTTGTCCTTTATAGTTTAGTGATATAGGTGAAATTCTCGTATAGTCTAGAATACGTATGAATTCAGTTTTCATTGTCTCTTTTCTCCTATATATATATATATATATATTTTTTATTTTTTATTTTTAAAAAGTAAGAAGGTTCACACTCTTACGTGATCCTTAGTTGAAAATACAATTGACTTGTATAGTGCATTAGTGGCGTTGGACGAATATATTAAAGTAGTAGTTCAATATTTTAGTTACAATATGATTATTAGAAAAGTTTGACTGATATAGTACATTAGTAATATAAAAATAGAACAATAAAATAATACTCTATATCTTTTAATTTATGTGATAAAATTTGATTTGACACGATATTTAAGAAAGAAAACAAAACACCCTCCAATTTCGCGGCCTAAAATATGATATAATATTTGTGTGGCTATAAAAATGTTCTCGTTAAGGTAAAATAAAAAATTTATATTTAATTATTTCAAAATACAAAAATGAGTCATTCTTTTTGTAAAAGACTCTAAGGAAATAATGTCACATAAACTGAAATAGATAGAGCAGTTGAAAAGTATTAAATCTAAGTTTATATCGAATTGTTGAATTAATTTAAAAAATTGAATAAAATCTATATATATATAATTCAAGTCTATTCTATCGGTTACGTGGCACATCCCATTCGCAAGGACTTCTATTTATCTTTATTTACGTTTTATTTGCCATTTTTCTATAATTTTATACCATCAAACATCGCAATTCTCCGTTTCTAAAAGACACCGACTCAAAAAACTCGGTATTCAAAAATACCGCTTCATAAACACAACCACTTCTTAATTTTTTACTCTCTCGAATTTCTTTTTATCCTCAGCTAATTGGTTCTCCAATCTTTCTTCTCTATCTTTTTTTTGGCTATTGTTATTTGCTTCATCTTTGTCGATATTTTTTTCATCCTCTGCTAATTGGTTATACAATCTTTCTCTCTATTTCCTTTTTCTATTGTTTATCGTTCATTTGCTACATCTCTGTCGAATTTATCACTATCCTCTGCTAATTTCTAAATTCATTCCTCATTCACAGCGCAGTGAAGGACTACGGATCAAATGTAGTTACCTACTTAGTTATGGGAAAACAAAAGCAATAATGTGCTCGTAAAATGTGCTCGTAAAAATGTCATATGGATTGACCTTGCACCCAGATTCAGAAAATGTTGCTATTTAGGAGAGTTATGGTATATGGTACTTATAATTTTCTCCTGTCTCTTTTTTTGTGCAGGTTGAACAGAAACTTCTACAGGAAAAACAATGCAGTTATTTGCTTTTGTTCTTATCCAATATCTTTTAATTCAACGTACCAATATACTGTTGAACTTATTTTATTGCCTTTTATTGTGATGATACATCTTTACTTGCTCTATCAATTTTGGAAGAAAGTATACACAATTGTGATATGGTAAGTTCAATATTTTTTCTTAATAATAGGTAATTGAAACTCTTTGATGCTTTATGAGATTATTGACTGTGTGCAATCCATTCATCGCCAAGCTAAGGTAAATTACTTAGGCGGAATTTATTTTACAGTTCAGAAAAACTGATTTTGCAAGCTTAGAGTTCGAGTTTTCCGAAAAAAATGGTTGGTTTACGTTTGCTTTCTATTTCCTAATTTCAGTAACATAATAGGAAGTTCCTAAAACTGATCAGAACAAAAAGAGAAATTCATCAGTTCAAATAAAAGTTATCTTTACCAAAAATATATGTATAAAGCAATGATAAAAGGAAGAATGAAGGTGATTTTTGTGTTGGGAGATTCATACATCTGTATATATACATAATTCAAGGATAAATACATGTATGTGTGTGTTTGGTTTTGTTCCAATGAATTTCGAAAGTTTGTAAGATTAAGTGCTATCTGTTCTCTTAAAAATAGGCAAATTTTAGCAGTTACTATGCTTTTCATTAAGAGCTTAGAAGGATCTGGCTGCCTTCTAGAAATTAAAACACTGATGGCCTTTCCTTTCTTAATTTTACTGATAAATATTAGTGTTGTGCAATGATGAGTTTTGAGGTTCAATTGTACCTTAGTTTCCATGCAGTATTTAGGAACCATCGTGTTGTATTCATGTTCTTGTATTGACTCAGATACACTGAATTTATTTATATTATTTTTCAAATTTGGTTGACATAGCATGTTCTCTTTGGGTTGAATATAATATGAGAGATTAGTACATCTATGGANGAAAGTTTGTAAGATTAGGTGCTATCTGTTCTCTCAAAAATAGGCAAATTTTAGCAGTTACTATGCTTTTCATTAAGAGCTTAGAAGGATCTGGCTGCCTTCTAGAAATTAAAACACTGATGGCCTTTCCTTTCTTAATTTTACTGATAAATATTAGTGTTGTGCAATGATGAGTTTTGAGGTTCAATTGTACCTTAGTTTCCATGCAGTATTTAGGAACCATCGTGTTGTATTCATGTTCTTGTATTGACTCAGATACACTGAATTTATTTATATTATTTTTCAAATTTGGTTGACATAGCATGTTCTCTTTGGGTTGAATATAATATGAGAGATTAGTACATCTATGGAGAAATCCTCACCATTGCATAAGTACTAAGGTAAAGTGCGGTGTACTCATTACTTAATGTTATCTTTGACTTACAGCGGTGTTCTTATCATTTTATCACAATTGAGTCTTTGTGCTGTTTTGTGCGACTACATGTTGCCTAC